TGTGATTACAAAAGGGCACAAAAAATGCTCTAGGGCTGATATCTAGGGATATATCCAAAATTCTTTTCTGCACGCCGCTATATTGTTGACAACGATATAGCTTAGAATTTCAACGGGCGATGCTATATTTCCACCAAAAGTTTGCAAAACTGCAGTTCATGCATAAGATCTATACTATGTATATCGCTTTGATTTTTATCAAATAATGCTTTTGCAGCTTTTGACAAAAGTTGAGCTGATCTCGTAAATATATGTGAACGAAAATCCGTGATGCCGATATGTATGCAAGAGTACAGGGGAAGCCGTAGATGCGTTCGACAAATTGCTTAGTCCTTATTTTGTGTCTACTGTTGCAATCGTAGTAATTTGTGCAAATTTATCTTTTCTGTGATTTTTTTTGGTGATTCCTTGATGTTATATTTATTCTACATAAAAAGGTAAGGGCAGATATATATTATGTTAAACTTGGGTTAGCTTTTTAATTCGATGATTCGAGCATAATTAATTAAAGCGATGATTCGAGCATAATTACTCGGATTTTTTTTTCATGAAGCATTTGTTTATTAAACTATAAATTATTACCTTTGGAGAAGAAAGGATTGGCATACTTATGGAGTACCACAGAATTTAAAATATACCTATTTGAGATTTGAAGTGAAATAAAAATGTACAAGGTATTCTGAAATTAAAAAATTGTCCATTTTCCGATTTTTAGCTATAAGAGAAATCGAAGGAAAATGTTTCGTTATTTCATTACGTCTTTAATACATACTTTAAAATTGATTTATTTACTTTAATAAACAAACGAGTACCACCACCTGCTTGAATTATTTGGTATTGATCTAATAGTTCATATATTTTCCAAAGCAACGGTTTAAGATATACTTACTTTTTCAGAAGTAAGATAAAATATTTCAAACAGTGACTTTCTGAGTGTTTTCAAGAAGCGTTTTTCACGCAATTGTTCTTATAATAGTTATTTTCTACTTTTATGTTTACTTCCACTTTTTCTGTTTTCATTTTTCCTCAGATGTCGGAAGAAAAACAGAAAAAAAAAACTGTCTGAGTATTAGAATGTAATGAAGAACAAGAAGGTGAGAGGAAGACTTGATAAACCAGAACTTTAAAACTACTCAGTTTTTCCAAAACCCAAAGAACACCCAACCTGACGCTACTCGTACTAGTTGTCCATTAACGTCTCAGCTACCACTGAAATTACTAAAAGAACCTAATAATAAGAAAGAAAGTGTTTTCACCTGAGAATTACCTTTAACTTCAATGCCAGCCTGTCGAACAGAGGAAAACAGAGGAAATACTATTGAAATCTACAATATCTGCAGTAAATACGCATTTGCCTGTGCCTGATGATTTCGGATTATGCCCAAGTCCCTTATTGCCATCCCAAGTTCAAGCCTTAACATAAAATTGTTCTGGATATTACCCAAACTTGGTTTCGAGTTTCAGTTTCCGAAAAGACAAAAATAGATTTAATTGTTTTTTTTGGATATACTTCTGTCGAATCTGGCCAAACAACGAAAGACTTATCCGATTTCTTAGAACTATTACGAAAGAGTAAACCTGTTCATTCGGAATTTCAAATTTCATTAAAAAAGAGACTAAGCATTGGCGCGATGTTATTGAAAGAATTAATTATGCCATTCACTTTTTAGCGAAATAAAACTTAGCCTTCCGTGGTTCCAGTAACAAATTAGTCGAAAGCTATAATAATTTTCTAAAGTGTATAGAAATGATCGCAAAATTTGACACTATCAATGTCTGTATATATTAATAAAATTCAAACTAAAAAATTATGCTTCATTACCTTGGAAATAAAATTCAAAATAAAACAATAAGCTTATTAGAGGATAATATAAAAGCAAATTATTTTAAATATAAATAAATATAATATAAAGCAAATTATTTTAAATAAAGTCGAACAGGCAGAGAATTTTTCTATTTTATTTGATTGTACCCCTAATGCTAGCCACCAAGAGCTGATATCAATTTGTATGAGGTAACGGACAAGACAGTACCATGCGGTCCCTGCCGAACCTGAAAATACCATCGCCTGCGATGACTACAGTCCTGTTGAGACTGATTTTAAATACTCGTGGACGAGACTGCCTAGAATCAGTAGTTTCCCAGGTTTTACCTGAGTCGATCCCGGAGAAGCGTTAAAATAAAACAAGAATTTTCCTGTTCAGGCAAGTAAGCCGCACGGGTGTTCAGATTCTGCTCTCAGCTGTCAACTGTTCAGGCAGGCAGCGAGATGAACTGCTTGTTTTAATGATTGAACGGCGCCTTTTTTTACTCGGCTCCGTACCTACTGTCGGCGCGAACCTGTTCGTGATATAAAATTGTATATGAATTTTGCAAACAGAAATATTTACAAAACATAAATTATTTGCAAACTCTCCTATTCTCAGTTAAGTATGTGATTAGTATGTGATTAGTCAGTTAAGTATGTGTTTTTCTCCTCTCAGTTCATTAATGATTTTATGAGATTTAAATAACTGCTTATTTTATATAAAATTTTCTTTATCAGCTTTTTGAAAATCGGTTTTTATTTGACCTCATCAGTTTGCTTTATCAGTTTTTACAATTTATGGGGAAAAGGGAGAAAGAGGAAAAGGCAGAATCAATATAAAAAAATCTGAATTTTCCATTTTTTTACAGAATGCATTTTAGTTGAGAAATCATTTTTAGTTAATGTGGGAGTAAAAGCATTTTTGCATACCGAATATTTGTACTTTATCAACATCAAGTAAAAAATGAATAGAATATTAAAACTTGAAATTTAAAACAAAATTAATTAAATTAAAGCAAATAAAACTTGAAATTTTGCGTTAGAAAATTTTCAAACAAGCAAACTGACGTTAAAACTTTAACGTCAGTTTGTAACTTCAAATAACAGAGATTTCTGTAACAGAGGTGTAAAGAGCACAGACATAGAGCAAAAAATGCCAACTTCGATTTCCATGCCAATTTATAACTTTTTACATTTTAACAGTTTGTTTACATTATTGTAGACAGACTATTTTATTTTTAAGCGCTAAAAATATCTTTTTATTATTCAAACATAAAAATCTAAAAATTTAAATATATTACCAAGTTTTTTTTCTTTGAGGATTTATATACATTATTTCAAGTATGCTATATATTGCTCGAGACTGACAGACAACCCTGATGATGATTCAAATAAGTACTTGATTTTATTTCTTGGTTTTAGTAAAGAAGTCAATAACACCCAATAGCTCAGAACTAAAATTCTTTTTCTTTTTACATACAACATTAATGAAAAATAAGTTTAGCGGTAACACTGAATTTATAATGTACAATAGACGCATTACACTGTGATTAATGAAGAATTATTCACTCAGATACGGCCTATTAAATTATAAATATTTTTTGCTGCACTTCATTTAAACATATTTCCTTTAATTATTCTAACTTATATAACCGAATTCTCAAGGCAAATTGAAAATAACATCAAAAATTGCAAACTTATTTATTAAACTTATTTATTATTGAAATTAAATATCCCGGTCAATTTACGTACGGAATTTATTTTTTATAACGAGTATAAAACTTTTCCAGATATAAATATAGAAAACAGGTGACTACATTAAAAATTAGATTTCGTTATTTGACGAAAATCATTTTTTTTAATATGATAGTGCCAGAACATGAATATTTTCGCCATTTAGAACACTTCTGTATTAGAACACTTCTTCTACAACCAACGATTGCGAAAATGGAAGCCGGGTTGCTAATCGTTTTTGAGATATGCCAGATACATATATACGTACGTAGAGACGTCAGAAATCACTTGTTTTTCAATCCATTTTACAGTTCGTTTTGAAAACAAGAATCCTTTATTATTTTCGTACGTACAGACGTCACGGAAAAAATCATCCAAATGGATTCGGGAATGGTCAAAATGGATATTTCTGTTGAAATACTCGTATGATACCCGAAATTTTTAGCGATGGGAATATTTCGTTTTCTTCCTTCAAAGAAGTAAAAAAGGGATAAATATAAATACTTAGTGTAGCCGGCCGGTAAAACTAGATATTTACCCTTAAGTGAAATTAAAATTTATCTCAAAACAAGGGAGAGGATAATATTAATTTTCAAATTTCCGGCTTTTGTTTCTGCATTTTTTGGAGGGTAAGGGATGTAAAATGTTATAAATAGTTAAACATCAAAGAAGTTCCAAAGTTCCAAAGAAGTTTCTTGCTTGAGAAAATAAGTAAAATAATAATACATATAATGTTACTGCTAAAAATAAGTTTAGCAGTAACACTGAATTTAAAATGTAGAATAGACGCATTACATTGTGATGAATGAAGAAGAAATATAGGTAAAAGGTCGACATATAGAGAAAAATTTCGATAATATATACGTTATAACAAAATTTAATCATCATCATTAGACTTCATCCTGGACGCAAACTGTAATTTACCCAGGAACAAGAGCTAAAAATTTTTGATTTGGCAAACTATATAAGATATTAGGAACTTATTTCATTTATTAAACTAATAGAATGAAAGTCGCTTTCTTGTAACAAAATGTTATTACGTAATGTAAATACAGTTAATTCATAAATGACTACGATGATTTTTACCTTACTTTATAATAAGTTAAATAAAAGAACATCAGATAATCTTAATTTTTATCCAACAAAGTGAAATAAAGTTCGCTAAGTGAAAGCAATATTTCTCAGAGAAATTAAATAAAATAAGTAAAATTATCGAAATGACATCTTTACTAAATACGGATTTAGTGTTGGCCTAAGCGTTTCACGAAGCAAGTTAAAGTTAATTCACTTAACAAAATTTCAAGTCCTTTTATTGCTTTACGCGGTAAGATGAACTTTACTGTTCTTCACAACTACAATGCAACTTAACATTTATAACTTTACGTCGCAAAGACAATAGATGCCAAAAAAAAATTTATTTAGGACGGAAATTGAAAGGATACTTATAGTACAAACTTACCAGATCGAAAGACTGTTTAACCATGATGAAAAGACTATTCGCGCATTAAAAAACGAGAATATTTATTTATGTACGTTAACGGTACAGAAAAGGATGCTTGTCAAAGGAAATCGTCTGCCTGAATGCTGTTGCTGATTACTTATATCTCGTTCGTACATCATCCAGAGATTCCGGTAAGACTTATCAGAAGTAAATATTGATTATCTACAGAAGCAATTCGAACAGATGGTCATGTCACCGCGCAGGATTCCGAGGACACAAAATTAACAAAAGAAATATATACGCTTTCGTTTTAAATATGGGCGTTACAGCAAAACTGAAAAGCAGGTGTCGCCGTGCTAGTTTTGAAGAATTTTCTTTCGTAATGAGAAGCAATGTAATAATTTAGTGACTTTGCAAAATATGGGGTATCAAGGTACAAAAGAAGAAATGTTAATATTGTTTCTTCTGCTTGCAAGAAGCTGTAGTCGTCTTCTACTGCTTGGATAATTGCACTTAAGTGATAAAACTTCTGACGTCCTTTTCGAATTGTATTCTTTAATCTAAAATCCATTTATCGGAAACATAAAATTAGAAGTAAACTTATAAATAATGCAACATTTTCCATATATTTTTTTCCAGTTGTGATAACCTTATTTTGACTCGCAAATACAAAATGATAAGACAATAAATAAATACTAATAAAAATAGCATTATCATTTAACTACAGAAATATTTACATATAAACATAACATGTATACAACTGAAAAAAATACGATTACAGGTATCTTTGGCGATATACATATACTTAAAACAATGGACTATGAAAAGAAAATGCAAGTAGGGGCGTTATTTCGAAAATATTTCGAGCATCTAGCTAATTCGTTTCGTTTGTGAACTGTTTGAAGACTTCAGCTTAACTGCAGTCATTTTCAGGCATTTTCAGACCAATATGCTATAGGGCTTTTTCGGAGTAGGAAATGTGGAAAAGCAGCTATGCTCTGACCAGGATTCGAACAACGGATCTCGCACTTTGTGTGCCGATCACTGACATCACGACAGCAAGCATGAAAAAATGCGACAGTTCTTTATAGAGTTATTAGGCTTTTAGAAAGAGGGAATCTTGAAATTCAACTGTGTCTTCTTCATTCCTTAAACTAAGGCAGAATGCATATTTTCAGGGCAGTTCATTGCAGCAGAAACTCATGTCACTATTTCGGGTTTACTTACTGTTTTATTTACAATCAAAGGTGCAGTAATCTGAAACTTTTTAGTTTAATTTGCATCAAAAAAATTCTTTAGCTTGCTTTTTTTTATTATTAAATTATTTGTAATTAAACATGTCACTCTGTTTGGTTACGATGCTTAGAACAGCTGTTTGCAATAACATTGGGGGTATGGCTCAAACCCGGGCAAAACATAGAGCGGGTCAATGTAAAATGCCCTTTCGGAGCTTAAATAACCGTCCAGCCGAAAGTCTCCGTTAGAAGTTCGTAAGAGGGAGAATGGACGAGGGTTCTTTGGATTCCGTGCTCAAGACCTTAACAGACGACATTCGCTTGCTTAATCTTTGCCATAATAGATTTCTGGACTCGATCTAGATTATCTTCTCATCAGGATTAGAAATCATAACGCAACATAATTCAATAAATTTTTTTTAAATCTTTCATCACAAAATTATTAAAAATCGTGAACATGCAACAAATAAACACTCCAAAATGGACAGCAAAACATTCCAAAATGAAGCGCTTTCACTTTTGTAACTCTAAAACATTCGGCATCTAAACATCCGATGGCACATCCGAATTAAAAATCAGAATCTAGTCTATCATTTAAAATATTTGTGCGAGGCATTTAAGTTATTGTGCAAGCGAAGGATTCGAATCGAAAGGGAATAGGACTGTAGGGCTTTGAAAGACGTTACAGACTAGAACTTCATCCAGATACATTTATAAATATGATTAATGCTATCTGCTGCATCACTAATTAGCCAAGTTCTTGATAGATGAAAAAGCTGCAGCATAAAACAAAGCGTAGTTATAACACATGACAATACACACTAAAAATTATAGCACACAAATGACATACTAGAGGGTTACAAGGGCCAGCGTGTTAATAAATAAAACATTATGCGATCGTTACTGAACATTTGCTTATTTTCATGGCCGTGAGGAGAAAAGTCATTGAGAAGTATTGTTCCATATCAAAATTTATCTGACTGAAAGTTATTATCAATAATAATCTAAAATGTACAAAATAAATAAATGAATAAATAGAAAGAGATCAACCATTAAAAATAACGACGGATTGCTTTCGATTAAAGGCAATTGTTTACTCATATTTTGACATCATGTTTGAAAAGCATCATTGATTTATCACTGTTATCAATCCCAAGTACCTGCCTCCTGTCCCAGTTCGAACAAACGTCTTTGAACGGCATTTCGCGGCTTAAATAATGGTAATTTATTTGTTTTTAATTTGAGGATCTCATTTTAGGACATAATATTGATTAAACCGGCTATCGACATTGCATTGATATAATACCAAGAAACAGAAAAAGATTCGCTAATGGCGCACATCAATGGAAAACACAATTATACAAGATTTGCTTCCGCGTCTTTATTTGAACAAGCAAGCGGGTCACAATCACCGGTTGCTCAACGTCGTTTCGAGGTCACCCGATTCTCGGAAAAAGAGGCTGATGGTATTACATTACTAATGCTTACTATATAACTCCTTAAAAAACAGAAAACTCTGACTATCGTATTCAGATATCGGTGATACCCAGGGATGTAACATGAAAACAGTCATTCAGTATGTTCCGATCGCCTCTGCAAACCGCTTTAAGGTTTTAAACAGTGGCGAGTATATTATTCATTTGAAATCTGAAACTAGAGCAGTGATAATAAGCAAATTTCTGCTGTTATTACAAAAGAATCAGAGGAACGGAATATAAATGCAATAAAGTGCAGCTTTTTTAATCATTCGCCTTTCGAACAATGCTTACAAGTATTTGGATCATGCATTTAACAGGACTCTTTTGTTATTCCCTACATTAATTGGCGTGCAATAGCAACTCAAACAATTGAAGTTCTTTTCGATCCTTCGTTTTCGTTTTTTGTTGTTATATTCGTTGGATGAAAAAAAAATAATCATTCTCTCGTTATCGTTCCCTCAGTGGGTTGATTTGGTTTATTAAATCATTGCAAAGCACTTCAGCACTCCAGGCCTATCTGTCTAAGGGAAGGAATGCCTTTAGGACTTTCTCAGAGAAACAGGCTCGTATGCACGTTGCGCATAGGAAAAGCCACAAAAATGCCCATGCAGCCAGCCTTTTCGTCAGGATTCGAATCCCGGACTGAAATACCAGTATTCAGCGACTTTACCGTTCAACCACGAGTGAACCGATCTATCAGTGGGAAAAAAAATATTTTATTTCATCCCTTCCGCCTCCCAGGAACGACATGTTATCATTTCAAATTTTACAGTAATTAATTCATATCTGGAATCAAACTGAAAAATATATAAACTTCCATTATTACCCTAATTGATTATTTTATGACTATAATAAATTAATAGGTTTGTTATCATATGAATAATTTATTTGTGCATCTTGTAATTAACTGCTATTTTTTTCCAATCAATTGATGACTTTTAATAATAAAAGATAACATGCGAGGATACTTATATGCACTGAATATTACTACTTAAAAAAAATACTAGCCACAGATAGCCTAAAATTAACCTTTCTACAGAATGCTGCCATTCAGAAGTTACGCATTAAAAATAATCGAAACGCTTAATTGATTTCAATTTTAGATAACTTCATTTACCTATGTAATTTCTAACACATTAAAAAGTTCTATTTAAGAATAAAAAACTAGCTATTAATATCATAACATTATGTTCTCTATAGAATAGTGCTATTCAAAGATAACGTAAAATTTTCATTTTAACAGATTTTTTTTCTGTTTCAGCCACAGCGCAGAATTGCCATATTCTGCAAATAACTGATATTCATGTAGTGCGGTTGCAAGAAATTATCGCATTCCAAATGCAGGCTCTCGGATTTACGTCGTAAAACAGCTATCTAGCAAATTGGAAAATGAGAGTTGAATCCTGGCGAGGGTACTGTTAATTTCATGCTTCCGCTGAAAGACATGACAGTCTGTACTGTGGTACTTGATAAATTGTGATGGTCGGTCGTTGTGTCATTACCATCTGATTTGGTTGACAGGATATTGCGCTTCTCCCCAGTCACCCTTTAACAAGGACGAAAACACTCCTCGTGCGGTCTATCGTGGTTTAAGTGGTTATCGTGTCCAACTAACATTTGGCAGGTCCGTGGATGGAATACCGGAGATTAATTTAGTTTTAATTATTTTTTAAATTAATTAATTTTTCACTGCACCGAAGACATGATTGTTTCTGCATGGTAAAATAACTTATTCTTAATGTGCTCTCAATAAAAGGGTACAAAATTTCTTTCCAAGGTGAAATTGTGTATAACTCTAGAAAATTGGAAAAGGATATGAATCAAATCCATATAGGGTCAAAATTTATGGATTAATTTCAAAAGTTTAGAACATTGACCCTTAGGTGAATGCTTTAAGCATCAGCGCTTCCACCTCGCGGTCTTTAAAAGTCTTTTGATGAGACTCACATCGTATGACAAAAATATGGACCTCATATTAAGATAAAATTTATTCTGGAACTCTGCTTAAAAATCCACTTTAACAGCATAAAATATGCAGAAGTGATCTGGATATTAAATAATTCACCAGATGTGTTTGAGAACAGATGCGTTTCACCAGATGCGTTTGAGAACAGAACCTCAGAAAACACCAGAAAATTTTTGAAATATTTTCCATTTTATTCTCGGTTGACATCAAATTTGCCAGTGAATTAACAAATAGGAAAATCTAAAGTTTCTACCGGATATGTAATTTATACGACTCCTGTTTACGTTGGCTTTTATAAGTTGAGCCTAGGTAAAAAATTTCCCAAATCTTCATCATTATACTTTATTCGTGATGTCTCTTATCGAAAACTTGTACAATTACGAACAACATTTTTCCGTGCGAATCCTGTTTCATTTAAAATGTGCATCGTTCTTCATTATAATATATGTTTTATTGTAATATATGTAAATACACTAACTTGTTTGACATATTCAAATTTTTGACCCTAGCACTGGCAGTGTCGGTTTG